ATCTGCTTGCTCTGCATCTACTATCAGCAAGAAAGAATGATTTCATATCAAAATGTATAAAATCCTGACTCCCAGTATGCAACAGGTTTGGGTCAAGTGGTTGGTTAGCTCTCTTTTTAAAATTACATTTTCAAACCAGGAGTGTTTAAGCAGGGCTGGGTTAACCTATCTACATTTAAAACAGATTCCGAGCAATCTCCATGGGGAATCAATCAAACCTTTTTGTTTGTGAATTGCAATCTAATGATTGTAGTCCCCCAGGTAATTAACAAGGCTTTCTTCCTCTCCATTTGAATAGTGTGTGGAGGCTTAAATCGCAACCCATTGTCTTTCAATTTCACATGGTGCTTTCCTTCTAACAATCAAATATATGTGAATGCTTTCCTTCAAAGTGGAAGGACAAAGACAGAATTTTATAAAAAAAAATCCACATGCAACTTTATAAATACTGACAGTTTGTAAGAAAGTGTATTCAAAAGGGAAGAAAGGAAATAACAGGGTATTGCTGCAACACAGAGTGATTTTCCAAAGAAAAGCTAGTTTTTTTTTAAAATACAATATTTAACATTTTAAATGGTGTAGTGGTTGGAGCATTGGACTATAACTCTGGAGACCAGGCACTGAATGCCCATTCGGGCACTGAAATCTACTAGCTGACCTTGGGCAAGTCACAATCTCTCAGCCTCAGAAGATGGCAATGGCAAGCCTTCTCTGAAGAAACTTGCCAAGAAAATCCCATGATAGGTTTGCCTTAGGGTTGCCATAAATCAGAAACCACTTGAAGGCACACAACAACTATTTAACATTTTTAAAAGGTAAGTTGTGAAAAGTGTAAACTGAATATTATATTTCTTATTTATAAATTGAGGGACGTGTTTCATGTTGCAACCCCATCCAAACTTGTTTTTAAAAAAAGGGGGGGTAAGTGTAGGAAGGCACACACAAAGAGCACCTAATGTTCAGTTTTTATGTGAGTTTACATTATTGCTATAGTTGCCTTTGAAAGGGTCTTTTCCCCATCAAAGCAATAGCTGGAGTCTATTAAATGGAGAAAAACAGTAACAATGTAATATGGGAAAAATCAGAGACAATACCCTATTATGAATGCACATACTGATTTTTTTTACAAGTAATAGTTAGAGGTGCGTTGGTCCTGCTAAGCAATTTCAAAACTAGCAGGTGGCACATTTAATCTAGAGTGGCAACTGTCAAGCAAATTTCATATGCTGGGCTCAAGAGTCTTGGAAATGTGTCATTCTTCTTGTTACTTGATACTACCAGAAGAAAGATCTAAAGTAAACAGTGACTTTCCTTGCCCAAAGAATATGAAAGTACTGAGGAATCATATGAAAGAAGTATATAAAAAAAAAGGCTGAACAGATTGCATGTACTAACAAATCTAAGACACAGAATTCACAGCACATTTTGTCTTAATCTATTGCATCAGTGAGAAAGAGCAGAGAAGTAAAGTAAACTGTCTGAAAAGCTAATGAATGAAATGAAACATCCTTTTAGACAGATGGACGGAAGAATCAAAACCATGAAATAGCCATATAGCTAGCTACTCTCAAGATTGGATGACCACTAAAGTTGTACAGTTAATCTCGGCTTCAGTTTGTCTTCATTGCCTGTCTCTCCATAGGCTTATTCCCTCGGGCAGGATTAAATCCATGATAGGAAAAATGTAGGTCTCTATTCTTAAAACTATTCTTAAAATGGAAATGGTCTGAAAGTTCATCCTCTAGATTTCATTCATTTAGTACAAATGCTGCAAGCAAGTTACTTTAGCAGTATGGGGCTTGCAAAACAAATCAGAGAAGATACAGACATTAAAGATGAGGAAATATCTAAATTTCCTTTGCAATATAGCCAAACTGTTAACTTTAAGTTCAAAATTAATTTAAATGGCTTTTTAAAATGTTGAGATGGTCATTCCAGTCTGAAAAGTATGACCTTAATCCAGTTGCTAATCACTATTAAAGCAGAACTCATCAGATCTGTGGGAACCAGATAAAGCAACATTTAATGTCTAATGATTCAATGGGCCTGCTTTAGTTGGAAATGTAAATAGCTAAAAACCTATATTTTATACATGTGTGAGAGAGAGACAGACAGAGAAAGAGAGAGGTTCTTTTTCCCCAGAACTAACTCAGAATAGGTGAGGATCATATATAGGAATGATTTCCGTATTTAACATAAAAATTTTTAAAAATCTTCTCACTCCATACAACATTAGCATGTACGTCTGGGACAAAAGTACTAGTATAGAGATAGGCATTCACTGAAGGTTCCCATTTTGACATATACACATCAGAACTCAACAAGCTCCACTGCTCCCACCTTTTTATTTTCAAAACCAGAGGTGGCCAGGGAACCTCCAAGTATATGGAGTGGAGAGAAGCTGTTTTCAGTCTGAAAAGAGCCCAAAGGGTAAAACAACATGGGGCTTCTCCCACACTTTAGGCCCCCCTTTTTTATCTGCAACATGATATAAAGGCAGGGTCGGAGACTGATGCCACAGTACGGAACTTGGAGGACCGCATTAATCCTACTGGCTATCTCTCCGCTACATTTTACTTTTTTAATTTATGCATTTTATACAGAAAGCGTTTCAAGTTGATTCTCCACTTTCATTTCCTAACCACACAGTCCCAGGAGATGTGTATTTTGCAGTTCAAGATGAAAATGCTGATTAATGTGAGTGCACCAATAATGCATACAGATTTCTTGTATAAGTACAAATCAAAAACACAGATCCCTTCCCCCTTTTTCTTCTCTACGTTGTGCTTTCGTTGAGAAACCAATTTATTGGTGTAAACTTCAAGAAGAAGCATCTGGCATTTACTTACCAGTTTTTGGATTCATGGAGAAGAATCCCTGTGGATTTCCACTGGTAATCTTGTAGGTCAGCTTGTCCTTAGTGTTTGAGTCTGCATCAAAGGCCTCAATCTGAATGACTGACACATCCTTAGGTGAGTTTTCCAAGACCTCTGGATAATAAACAGGCTGTGTTGTTTGTGGAGCATTGTCGTTAACATCACCAACTTCTATGTAGATTTCAACAAAGGAGGACAGAGGAACAACACCCTGGTCTGTTGCATAAACAGTTAGCCAATAATAGGAAGTAGTCTCTCGGTCAAGTAAATCAACAGTTGCTATTGTACCTGTTAATAAACAGGAGGGGAAAAATAGTTAAGCATCACCTCAAAGAATAAAACTTGAAAACAAATCTTCATCACAAGTCACAAATTAAAAAGCATTACTATTTCACAGCTTTCAGAAAAACACTGGCACTTAATAATCACAAATTGTGGTAAACAAATAATGAGTACATCCTGCGGGGAAATTATAGTATGCTCAGGCAGTTATTACGGACCAATTTTATAAGAAAGAAAAATATAATAATAATAATAATAATAATAATAATAATAATAATAATAATAATAATATTTTTATCCCGCCCCTTTGCAGCGCAATCAGGGCAGCGTACAACAGTTAAAAACACCAATACATATATCAATTCCCTAACCCACCCTCCCCTCAAAACAATATTAAACTAGTAGAAATTTAAAACATATAATAATAATAATAATAATAATAATAATAATAATAATAATAATAATAATAGATGGGACAATTAAAACAGCAGCTTAAAATAAACAGTGGAAGCTCAGGGGAGCAAGTTGGCAAAAATCTTTGGGCTGGGATAGTTATTCAGGGAAGGCCTGCTGGAAAAGATCCATCTTGACAGCTTTTTTGAAGCTGTCAAGAGTGGTAATAAGATGGATCTCATCCGGCAGTCCATTCCATAACAAAACAAACAATATTAAGAATCAGACATACAGATGCATCTTTTGTGCCCTGACAGAATGCTAAGTTGAAATGTCTCAGAAAGTATTTGCCCAAGATTTTTCTTTTTCTTGCCACCTAGGAAAAAGTCATTTTGCAAAATTTTCTACACATTTACTTTGGTGGCATGCTGTCTCTCCGTTATACCCAGAAACAAGGATATATACAGAGCATTGTAAAGATGAAAAATGGTGGTCAAGCTGTTAACACTGTTGCTGACAATTCTAATGGCAGAACAAAATAGAAAAGCAGGCAGGTAGGCAGTATGTCAAGTATCACATTGTTTTACATATTTCCACTTGGCATCATGCATGAAGACTGTCAACAAGGCAACTCCCATCTACCCTAAACATTTGTGTATATTGTCTTATTGCCTATGTGTAAAACTGCTAGTCTTTATCCACTCTCTCCATTCAACTCATTCACCATTCTAATCAGAGCATACATAGTATTTCCTTTTAAGAGTGCTTAACTTCATTTAGGGCCTAAGCAGACTGCCAGAAATAGTGCACATTAAATTGAGGCACTGCCCTGGCTCAGTGCTAAGGAATCATGGGAACTGTAATTTATTGTGGCACCAGAGCTCTCTGACAGAGAAGCTCAATGTCCCAGAAAAAAATACAATGCCCATGATTCCCTAGCACTCAGCCAGGGCAGTGCACTATTACAATGCCCATGATTCCCTAGCACTCAGCCAGGGCAGTGCATTTAATGTGCACTATTTCTGGCAGTCTGCTTAGGCCTTTAGTCATGCTCAAATCAATCTAAAATAAAATATACTTCAGACTATCTCCAACACAACACTACATTAGAAACATAGTGCTATTGGGCATCTTTTAGTTTCAGCAAGCTCACAACAGGTGCATTCCTCAAAATTTAATTTTTTAAAAAAATTCTAGCTACATTAAGATTATTAACAATTTTAAAGAGAAACGTGCCCAATGTGTGTACTGTAAAGATTAATTGTCTGTATTATCACAAAACAAAATCTGATTTGAGTTAGGAGATTATGTAAGTATAATTTGTTTTTAAATTTAGTTGGAGAAAAAAAGGATTTTATAAATATATATGTGTTTGGAAAGAAATAATAAAATACTATGTTCAAAACAATCAAATGTTTCCGTTATCTTAAACAAATAAATCAGCTGAGAGCCAGCATGGTGTAGTGGTTTGAATGTTGGCATACAACTCTGGAGACCAGGGTTCGAATCCCTGCTCAGCCATGGAAGGCCAGTGGATGACTTTGGGCAAGTCTCAGCCTCAAAGAAAGGCAAATCTGAACAAATCTTGCCAAGAAAACCTTGTCATAGGGTTGACATAATCCAGAAATGACTTGAAGGCACACAACAACAAATATAAAACCAAAGTATTATTATCAAGTAAAAATAACTTCTAGTACAATACTGAATACTTAAGGAAATCCTGAACAGTTTAAGATCGAGGCAAGTGAAACATCATAACTTTCTATCTTGGAGAAATGTAAGGTACTGCACTTAGGGCAGAAAAACGAAAAGTA